GCAGAGGCGGGCGAATCTCTATGAGGTGAGGCCAGCCTGGTCTACAGAGCTACACAGAGAAACCCATCCCGAAAAGCCAAAACCAAACAACCAAACAAAACAAATTTACATTACTGGGAAATGCTGCAGTCATGGGGCACAGATGAAGCTAGAGCTTAAATGATACCTCCTGGCTCTCCTCCATGTCTAGCTTCATGCTACAGGCCTCTCCAAGTGGCAGTTAACATAGTTCTACTAGCAACCACATATGTGAGCCCCAAGGAAAACTGGTTGGTTCCCTTTTGCCAAAGCACCCAGTGTGTTGAGCAGACAGGAAAATATTGTGACCCGGTAACTATGCATGGAGATAAGTGCACATCGGGAAGGGTCATTGCCTTGGCTGCAGAGATGAGGAAAGTGGACCTCACGAGGTTGACCTCTCCCTTCACTGCCCCTCTGGGACAGCTGGAGCCATGCTCCCATCCAAAAAGGGGGAAATGGCTTCCTGGGAGTTTTTGTCAATGATGTCAGGCATCACTGTATGTGCCCACAAGTTTTTAGTCATGTAACTTATGCTCATCATAAAGGACAATTTGAAACGTGCCCAGAAATATGCAAGTACCAAGTCCTTTTATCTGCCTGGCTCAGAAACTCAGTGGTTTCTCTTGAGCGTGTTTCTTCCTGGACCTTCAGTCTGTACTCTGTACGCCTGCGTGTCAGAAAGTGTAACTGAAAAGTATGAAAGCCATTCCCTCACATTCAGTGTGGTGACCCTCCTTGTCCAACGCTTTCGTATTTTACATTTTCTTCCATATCTTTTGAACAAGCGTAGCTTTATTTTGCTGTAGCCATGTCCTGGAAACACTCTGGCCTCAGAAGTCCACTGGCGGTTCCGGTCATTGTACACACATGGCTTGTGTCCCGGGGGCTCGGTGCTGAGTGTGAGGCTCTCCAAATCACTGCTTGCTCTGCTTCTCTTATGCTTTTGATGCTACACGCTTCTCACAACATTCTCAGGTAGAGTGCAATGGGCATCCTTTCTCCCTCTGTCCCTCCAAGTCAGATTCCCAGGGTCCTCGCGTTTCCAAGGCAAGCACTTCACCCAGTCGTCCTCCAGCCCCGACCTTGAACTTTCCACTCTCCTGCCTCTGCTTCCAAAGTGCATTGATGGTGTGTGCCACTGCACCCTGCTCCTTTTCCAATGGCTTCCTAGAGACTTCGTGCCAGCCAAGAGCATTGTGCTTCTTTCGGAAAAGGAAGTATTGGCTAGTGGCGAGGGAGGTTGGCCTGTGGGAGCAGGTGGCTCCGTGCTCAGAGCCTGCCAGTAATCTACTCTTGTGATGCCGCTCATGTTTAGTTAGCGTTATTTTAAAATCATTTGTATTTATGTGTGTGTGGGTACAGGTGCTTATGGAGCTCAGAAGAGGGTTTCCATCCCCTGAAAACTGGGGGTTCCAGGCGCTTGTGAGCTGCCTAACATGGGCGCTAGGAATTGAACCAGAAGGCTCTTAACCTCTCTGGCCACAGAGGTTCGTGCTGGAGGCAGAACAAGGTGCCCTCTGTTATTGGTTTATGTCCTAGCAACTTAGAGACCCACACAGGAAGCATCTCACCCAAACACCCCTTCAAATGCATCAGGCTTCCCCAGATGTGTATATTTACTAGCTGTTATCTGACCACATCTGCCCAAGTCTGAAGCTCTCAGTCACCCTCTCACCCGGCCTTCCCTGGCTCTCAATCCCCTAACCCTCTCCTTATTAGCTATGATGTGAAGGTGTTCCCCGAGTTCCTATCTGGAAACCTAACCCCGAACATAGTTGGTGTGCGGCCTTGAGGAGGTGGGAAGCCTCATGAATTTCCATCTATGGGAGGCCCTGCAGAGCATTGCATCTGGCTTGGAACTGCTCTTTTCTTTTTCTTTTTTCCCCGAGACAGTGTTTCTCTGTAATTTTGGAGACTGTCTTGGAATACAGGCTGGCCTCGAACTCACAGAGATCCGCCTGCCTCTGCCTCCCGAGTGCTGGGAATAAAGGCGTGCGCCGCCAGCTCCAGCAGAACTGCCTTTTATGTTGCTACCTTTTGTTACTGATAGCTTTTCTCCGAAGTGTTTGATTCTTGTCTGAGTTCTTCCTGAAGGGTTCAAAGCCATTGCAACACTTGGTTATGAGAGGACTTGGCAAACCAAACCACTCCAGATAAGAGGTTTTGGTATGTGGAAATTGACTTGCTCAGAGATGTAAATTATGAAACAATAAAAAGGCCTTTTGCAAAGCAACAGCAGTCAGTTCTCCAGAAGCTGGCTCCCTGGCTGCTCTAAGCCGTATTCATTGTGGAGGGACCCTAATTCTTCCAGGAACCTGGGCAAAACAGATCAATGACAAGGCCACCAATGACCTGGAAAACATCCTCTCAGATCCCAAGCCTTCTCAAACTGTGACTCTGGTCTTCCGGCTACCAGCACTGGGTAACTGTTCCGTGTATGAACTGCCAAGTCTATGGTTGGTTGTTAGAGTAGCCAGAACAGGGCCTATTCACTCTCCACAGCCCACCCCCTTTTCTTCCCTCTGTATCACCCCCCCCCCCAATGTGATAGCAGGGCCTCCGCCTGGCGATCAAATGTGGAACCAGGATGACTGGGAAAGCCAACACTTAGATCAAAACTTTAGTCAGAGAAACAAGCCCCCCCCCAACACGCACACGTGCGCGCGCACGCACACACACACACACACACACACACACACACACAGGCTGAGAACTTGCATAGACTCCTGGTCTCTACCATGGGGCCCACTCTGAGCACGCCTTAAAGTATCTTTTTTCATATTGTGCATCCATGCACGCCTGTGATTGGGTATGTGCACACACGAACAATTGTTCTCGGTGGCCAGGAGGAGGGTTATCTCCCTTAGGGGCAGGATTGCAGGTGTTTGAGCCACCAGGCTTGGGTGCTGGAGCCGGAACGTGAGTCTTTCTCAAGCGCACCTTTCCAGTGCCAGCACCACCAGTGTACCCAGCATGCACCGTTTTCTTGTCATTTTGTTTATTCGAGGCAGGGTTTCTCGGTGTAGCCCCAGCTGTTCTGGAACTTACTCTGTAGGCCAGGCTGGCTTTGAACTCGAGATCTGCCTCCTGAATGCTGGGACTAAAAGTGTGTCCTGCCACCACTGCCGCCAACACCGCCACCTGGCCACCTACACTCTGTAATCGGCCTGTCAATTTCTTAGACTAGCTAGTTCCAGAGGGCAGAGATCGTGTGCAGGAAATTAAACACTGCTTCAAAGAAAATGCTCAATATCATGGCCTGGACCCAAAGGCAAGCCAGGTTCCCATGACAAACACAGTGCCAACCAGAGGGCCCCAAGGAGGGCGCATGCTCTTCATGCCAGCACTTAGGAGGCAGGCCTGCAACCACACAGTCAGTTCCAGGGGAGCCAAGGGTATATAGTGACACCTTGTCTCCAACTTTTAAAGTTAAAAACAAGTGTGTGCATGCACCAGCTATTTTAAGCATCCTAAATGTGTTAAGTATTGATTGACCAGGCCCATAAGATTCTCATGTGATGGGGCTGCTCAGTGGGCAGAACACAAAGCCTGATGAGGAGACACTAAGGAAGTGTTTCCATAAGGTTTCTAGCAGGAAGGGCTTAGATAAGCCAAGAGTCCCAAAAGGAAGGATTCTCACCCTCTGGGCACCTGTCAGGTGAGAAAACTGTGACCAGGGCCCGTTTGTTTCTCATTCGGGGATCTGGCGGGGGGGGGGGGGCACAGGGACAGTCCTATTAGTGTGCCTGCCCTGTAGCCAGCCTAACAGATAGCACACAATGACGACTGAGTGGAGTAGCTAAGGTTCCCGCAAACACGGCCATAGTTTTCACCAGCACCATCTACCATGTATGCCGCTTTATATTTTAGCACCTCAATTTCCTAACTTCCCCTGCGGTTAGCAAAACTCACTTGTAGTCACTAATTCCATGACAAACTTGGCGCTTTTATATATAATAATTCAAACGGAGGAAGATTATGGAAAGAAGTAGCATGTGAATCTGGAATCCTCTGAGTTCCAGATTATGAGTTAGTTTTAGCAATTTGCAATTAGAAATTTACTTTATGAATTTATGTGTAGGGGAAAAACTAGAACAAAGTAGAGATGCAGGGGAAGAAAAAGGCCAGGTATTTAAAGAGTAAGGAGTTGGACAAAAGCTGGAAAATTGGACAGCTTTAAAAGCCATGTGTGATAGTTAACTTTAACCACAGTGAACAAGTTACAATTTTCATCTTTCTTTTTTGTTTTTCAAGACAGGGTTTCTCTGTGTAATATCTCTGGCTATCCTAGAACTAGGTTTATGGAACAGGTTGGTCTCAAACTCACAGAGATCATCCTGCTTCTGCCTCCCAAGTGCTGGGATTAAAGGCATTTGCCACCATGCCTGGCTTAGTTTTCGTCTTTAATATAAAAGTGTATTTGTGCAATATAGTTAAGACACTCATCCATAGATCATAACCAGTGAACATTCCTTATGTGTCAGGTATCAACTAAGTTCTTGAAATTTATTTAACCCTCACCATAGCCCTGAGGGATGTGGAAATTATGCCCATTTTACAGATGAGGAAACTGAAGGATTGAGAAGTGATTATGATTTTCACAAGGCTAACAACTGGAATTCAATTCAGGCAGACTGACTCCAAGGTCTACCACTGAACCCTGACATTACACAGCTTCTTATTGTGGGTTTCTTGTTCCTGGCTGTCCTAGAACTCACAGATTCCCCCTGCCTCTGCTTCCCAATTGCTATGATTAAAGGTGTCACCACTGCCCAGCTTCTTAATTTTTCTGTTTTGTTTAGATCAGCAGTTGTCAACCTGTGGGTTTCAACTCCTTTGGGGGTCGGATGAGCCTTTCACAGAGGTTGCCAAAGACTATCAGAAATCACAGACATCTACACAAAGGACAGTATTCAAGGCTGCAGCATTAGGAAGACGGGGAAGCACCCATCTAAATGAAGCCACTCTACATTCTGTCTCATGCACTTTTATTAGGACTTACTGGGAGGGGAGGTTTCCAGTGTGTTGGTTTCAGTGGCTGACTTTGTATGAGTGACTTCACATGTATGGGACTCAGCTGTCACTAAGTGGCTCTGGGCGGAGCTACTCCTTTACAAGTGTGAAGGTGCTGATGTCTGTTAAGAGCAGAGCAGCTGTAAAAGGCTTTGTGACAATCTTGACAGCGTGGTTTCTCCTGGGTGTGAATTCTCTGGTGTTGACTGAGATGAGTGCTTGAGCCAAAGGCTTTACCACACACATCGCAGGTATAAGGCTTTTCTCCACTGTGAATCCTCTCATGCTTCCTTTGATTTGCTTTCTGGGAAAAGGCTTTCCCACATTTGCTACATGGGTATGGCTTCTCACCGGTGTGAACTCTACGGTGAAGGATAAGGCAGGAGCTCTGGTTGAAGGCCTTGCCACACTCCTGACAAACATAAGGCTTTTCCCCAGTGTGAATCCTCTGGTGTCGGATGAGTTGGGTACTCAAGATGAAGGCTTTCCCACAGTCAGCACATTTAAAGGGCTTCTCCCCTGTGTGAATTTTCTGATGCTTAGAAAGGCATGCGTTCTGACGAAATGTTTTCCCACACTCACGGCACTCAAAGTGCCGCTTCACAGTGTGAACTCTCTGATGCTGAATAAGGTGGTTACTCTGCTTGAAGGCTCTGTCACAGTGGTCGCATTTAAAGGGCTTCTCTCCAGAGTGAACCAACTGATGTCTCAGAAGCTGGTCACTCTGACTAAAGGTCCTTTTGCACTTGTTACATTTAAAGGGCGGCTCACTTCCGGAAGGCAGATGCTCACTGACAGAGGTGCTAAGCACGGACTTCTCAGGCTCCGTGTGTTCATCTGGCTTCACACCAGCATGGATGCTCTGACGGCAGGCGAGCTGCACACTGTGATCGTAGTTCTTCACACATGGGTTACACTCAGAGGGTGTGGCCTGGGTGTGACTCTTCTGCTGCCCTACATACGTGTTGTGCTTGGAGGCTTTCCCACGCTTGTTATACTTAAAGCCTTTCCCAGTGTGCTTTGAGTTCTGACCCCAAACCTTGTCGCCTCTACTTTCTCTGGTGTGAATGCTCAGGTGGCAGCTGAGAGTCGAGCTGCATAGGAAGTGCTCTCCACACTGCTCACATTCATACAGGGGCTCAGTGGTATGAACTTTACGGTGCTGTACTAGCTGTTCTCTATGGCTGAAGGCGTCCTTGCACTCAGCACAGCCAAAGGGCTTTTCTGTGGCATGACTCTGCTGATGTTGGATCAAATGTGAGGGACGGCTAAAAGTCCTGACGCACTGTGGACACTGGTAGGGTCTGTAGCCTGAGTGGATTCGCTGATGCTCACTCAGGTGCGTGCTCCGACAGAAGGCTTTGCCACACTCACTGCATGTGTAAGGCTTCTCTCCACTGTGAGCCCTCTGGTGGATTTTCAGGGTGGAGGAGTGGCTCAACGCTTTCCCACATTCACTGCACTTGTATGGCTTCTCTCCTGTATGAACAGCCTGGTGCTCAATGAGTGAAGACCTCTGCTTAAAGCTCCTTTTGCATTCTTGACATTCAAAGACGGTTTTTACAAAGTGAGTTTTTCGGTGTTGGACAAACTGTTTCTGGATATGGAAGACTTCGGGGCATGTAGCACACTCATAGAGCTTCTGAGGATGGGTTTTCAGGTGTCCAGCTAGAAGGAAGGCCTGGCTGAATGTCTTCCCACATTTCTTACATCTGTAGAACTTAGTCTTTGCAGGAGCTTTCTGATGTGTTTGAAGGACGGATGCACTGACGCCACCCTGACCCCCAGGCAGTTTTTTTGGGTCACTGTCACTAGTAGGTGGTTTTTCTCGGTCCCAACTTTGAATTTTACAGAATTTTGATGAGCTTGCACCTTCACTCTGCACCGGCTTTTGTGGCTCAGCACTTTGACTCTTGGATGGCCTTTCTAGGTTATCACATTGAGTTCTGCACAGGCTTTCTCCAGTGTGAACCTTCTGATGCCACTGGAGAGACATACTCTGACTAAACCTTTTCCCACACTCTTGGCACACATGGGGTTTGTAGCCTGCCTGAGTCACTGGACGCAGGAGAAGAGAAGCACCTTGGCTGAGCTCACTCTCCTCCTCTGGCCATGAAGGGGTGTTCTCCCTCACATGCACAATCCAGTGCTGGAGGAGGTGGTAACTCTGACTGAAACTCCGCCCACACTCGCTACACTTATATAGCTCCTCTTCTCCCTGAACAGGGTCCTTCTGGCTCTGTTCTAAGTAAAAGCTGAAGTCACTCCTGGATCCCTTCAGTGTCACCGGTGTGAGGTTCTTTGTGGGAATATCAGACATCCCAGCATCCTCTCCTGTGGGAAAGAGAGGCCCAGGACTGAGGCTGCTCTCAAATTCATGACTCTTGCAATCTGTGGGGCTTTCCTTGTTGGTAATGTCAGATCTTGGAAGACTTTCTGCATCTCCAAGCAAACTATCTAACCAGCTCTCACTTAAGCAGGCTTCCAAGTTGAGTTCCTCCTTGGACAATGTCTCCATAATCTGGGAGAGGCCTTCTTCCAAGAAGCCATGCTGTAAAGGAGAGTTCTTGGTCTCAGTTGCTTCTGAAAGAGAGAGAGAGAAAGTGTGTGTATAATTCCTTTTGTTCCCTGGGTCAGTGGGACAACCATGCTGTGGGCAACCAGCCTGTCAATGGTGCCCCATCTGGAGATGGCAGAAAGTAAGAAATGGAAAGCTCAGGGAGCTGAGAGCCCGTAAGTGTTCAGCAGAGAAGGAAAGCCTTGGCCATGATTATCAGAACCATGAACCCGAGTTCACGAAAGCATCTTCCAGGCACGCCTCCTCCCTTCTTCCCCGTCTCTACCGCACAGCATCAAAATGTTGCTCAGGCTACCCCGGGTCCTTGACGACGGGGAAACCTTCTACGTCCAGCCAGGCCTCCGCCCTGGGCCCTGGGCCCAGTCTCTAACCCTGGCTGAGGCACTCACGTCCCACCACTCTTCTTTTCCTGTCCACAGCTGTCATCCACAACTAGAAATCTGGCCCCGGGCTCCTTGCTGGCCTCCCATCTCGTCTACTCTTGCGCAACACGCAGCTCACCACCTTACCCTGACCACACCCTTTTCACTATTTCACTAGCCTCTCCACACTGCTGCTGCCCCCCTCCCAGCAGCTGGTACCATGATCACCTTCTTCCGAACCTTCCCCATCCACCGAGCATCCCGGAGGGAGGCTGCTCAGTGCCTCGTGGCCTGGGTGCGACCCTTCCAAACGGCAGCTTTCAAAGCCATCTCTTGCCCTACGCTGTCCTTACGTTGCTCTCAGCCCGTACTGTCGTTTTGTTCCCTCCTCACATTGTCCCCCTGCACAGAGCGCATGTGTGCGTGTGTATGTTTGGCTGGCTGTGCTTAGAAATAGCCTACATGATGAATGAGCAAAAACAGGACTCAGAGCCGAGGAGCATGTGCCCAGGATGTTCACCATCAAGGGACACTTAGCACAAGCAGGAGGCTGCAGAGAGCTCACATCAATGGCCTCGAAGGTGGCAATAAGCAAGGAAGAGGGCTGTGGATTGTCTAGATGGGGGTAGCTAGACCTGTGGTCTCTAGTTCCGAGTCTTCCTCGTAGTGACAGAAGATGCTGCATGAAGCCTCTGTTGCCCGGGTACAGCGCCCCCTCAACCCTCCCCCAGCCCCTTTCTTCCATTGCCAACAGTTCCAGCAGGTCATGGCACGGTGTAGGAACTGCCTGGCATTGGAAATGATAAAGCCTGACTTACTACCAAATGTGGCTATGCGTGAGCCAGGAAGAAGGTAGCAGAGGTAAGCCAGAAGCCACAAGGACGGGGTGCGCAAACTGACCTGGGAATAGGAAGCATCCCCTTGGGGAGGCCTGAAGTGAAAAGGAGAGACCTGGGTGCTGTTCTGAAGAAAGAGACACAGCAGGCATGCCCCAGTGAGGCCCCCTCTGACACACGGCCAGAAAGCTATGGGCAAACGCTTGCGGCTGGGCATCAAGGTGTGTGGACAATGGGCATGCCAGGGGCTGCAGGGTCGCAGTCAGAGTCAGACAATGGAGGCTACGCCCCTCTCACCGGTGCCTGTGGCTCCCAGGCCTCCTCTGACCGTAGCTTCCAGCTCTTCCCTGACATCTGGTTGGGGATTCAGGCTGGGTTTGGGGGGGTCTGCAGAGAAAGAACAATCCTGTCATCAGCGGGGATATGGGCGGCATCTAGACGCTCAACAGGAACTTTCTGGCTTGAAGGTCATTCAGATCTGTGTAGGAGTCGGGGGTCAATGCCCTTCTCACTGTGGGCTACACCTGGCCTAGCTCCAGAGGGCGGCACCTAGCCCTGACCCATCCTTCGTTTAGCAGATAGATAGCTTTTGTTTCTCTTGTTACCCTATGTGTGGATCTTGCCTGAGAGTTTCCCAAGGACACAAAGCCTATGCAAAACTTGGTTGGGGGCAACCCAGAAAACTGGCACCTCCTGAACTGAGAAATTCATTTGACATTGTCCCCTTGGAAGCTCCCTCAGGATGTTCTGAGGATACAGAAATCAACTTGCTAAGGTGCACTTGGAGAGCAATAAAAGCAGTCCTAGGCAAAGGGAGAGCGCTTCAGTTCTTAGAGCCTAGAAAGGCCGAAGTCATTCTTAAGGTGCCTCTGAGTCCTGTTTCCTCAGACCTGCGTGAACCCAACACCTGCTCCTCAACAGATGTGAGAGCTCCTGAGGTGCTTCTATGGCTTCACACCAGATGTCAGATGAGAACAGCTACCCCCACATAACAAAAAATAAGGGAGGGGGTCCCACTGCATGCTGTCATTTCTGTTTATCTTCAGATAAAGTTCTCTGGTGTTTCTTGGAAATGAAGAATAGACTAATTAGAGGAGATGGAATACGGGCAGGTTAGCAGCAGTAGGAAGCTGGTGCTGGAGGAAGCTGTGCAGGTACGCACTGGGGTAGACACCTTTTGCCTTCCTACCAGGAGGCTGCTACACAGCAAGTGGGTTTGGCAGTGCTGGCTGCTCTAGGAGAGTCATGCTGGCACAACTGGCTTGGGAATGATCCTGTATTTTACTTTGCTTTCCTTCTGAGACTCAGGAGAAGAGCCCCATGAGCAAGCACCTTCTCGCTCCCTGACTTAGTAGGGTTTCTACTGCTGAGAGAAAACACCATGACCAAAAGGCACTTGGGAAGAAACGGGTTCACTTCAGCTTGTAATTCTCAGCTCACACTCCATCACTGCTGAGAAGTCAGGACAGGCACCTAGCAGCGGGTGCCGGCGCAGAAGCCATGGTGCTTACTGGCGTGTTCTCGTGACCTCATCCTGCTTTCTTACAGCCCCCAGGTCCACCAGCCCAGGAGGGACAGCACCAACAATTAAGCAAAGGCACCATAGACTTACGTGCCTGAAGGGCAACCTGGTAGGATCAGTTCTCAGCTGAGGTTCCTTCTTCCCATTGACTCCACCTTGTGTCAAGTTGACAAGATACTAGCCAGAACTCTTGCCATTGCTGGAGAGTCAGAGCATCCGTGTGACTTCACTGAGGGTTCTGCACAAGCCCACACCCTAGCAACCTGTGATGTGCCCGTCTACTATAGTGAGAAAGCTGTGAGTCTGACCACAGGCTGGGACCGCCTAGGGACCCCTAAGCTGGGGTGTCCCGGGGGAGCACAGCTGCGAGGACTTTTCCTCTCTGAAGTTCTGTTGCAGAGTACCTGGCATAGGGGAATGACTAGGGAGCCGGGTGCACGAAGCACCGGGTGGCGCTTTACGCAGGGTGACTTCTGTTGCAGAGTATTTGTCTGCCCTGTGTAAGATGTGTCACTATGACTGGTTTGATAAAGAGCCGAGGGTCAATAGCTAGGGAGGAGAGAAGAGGCAGGACCTGTGGTGAGAGAGGAACTCTGGGAAGAAGAGAGGTGGAGAGACACCAGCGAACAAGCTGCATGTACAGAACTGGGGACAGGTAAAAGCCACGTGGCAGAATGTAGACGCAACACCCAGTGAAAACAGATAACCAGGCCCTCCCCATGAAGCTCCCATCCCAGACGACACAGAAAGTAGTTAGACCATGTTGGAGCCACAAGGGAATCCAGGCTCAGTGGGGGCTGTGTCTTCTAGTGGCGCTAAGCTGTGTGGGCAAAGGGGACAGCAACCACAGGATCCTAAATCACCTGCCCAAGAAGACTGCAATTACAAGCAGGAAAGGTTGGGGGATGCAAGATGCTAGACAGGGACCACAGCAGGTCCCTCAGGCTCAGCTCTCAGGGCTCAGGGCAGGACAAGCCTCTGCTACAGGTTCTGCCCTGTGCACTGTGCATTAGATGACAGCATCTTGTGGAGCCCGGAGCAAGATGACACTTACTGAGCAAGAAAAGGTCCTGGCAGTTGCTCAGTGTGGAATCCCAGAACAGGTCTCTCTTATCCAGCTCTAGCTCCAGCTCCTCCCAGTCCTCCAGGGTGAAATCCATGGCTTCCATGCTTTCTAAATTGCTTTTCTATTGCTGTAATAAAACATCATTACCAAGATAACTTATAATTGGATTTGCAGTTCCAAGGGGTTAAGGTCCATGATGGTGGAGTGAACACACTTGGGCAGCAACAACTGACAGCTCACACCTCAAACCTCAAGCAGGAGGCAGAGAGCACACTAAGGATGGTGGGAGTTTTTGGAATCTCAAAGCCTGCCCTGGTACACCTTCTTCAATAAGGCCACACCTCCTAATCCATTCCAAATAGTTCCACTAACCTGAGACCATGTATTCAAACATGAGTCTGCAGGGATCACTCTCACTGAAACCATCTGGCTGTCCCTCTGCCCCAGGCATTTCCTGTAAACTAGGAGACTGAAATCCAGGCCATCTTGAGCCACATTGTGAGATCCTATCTTAAGGCATCTCTCCCTGCAAAGATTGGGAGTCACAGCTGCTTTTTCTTTGGGAGGGACTCAGTTCAGACAAAGGGATTTCAACTTACCTCAGCCACAGTGGCCTGCTTCCAGTGACCTCTTTTAAGCGCCTCCTTCTTCCCCTCCATGTTCCCAGCTAGCAGAGCTGCAGAGGAGCTGAAACAAAGTCTCCATTCCTTCTATGGCTGATATCCTGATCATGCTGGATGAGTCTCCAGAATATGGCACATAGTAGGACAAGTCTCAAAAAGAACCTGCCTGCTGTAGGGACCACGATGACAGTTGTATTTAATGAAAACGATGCCACCCCTAAATCTCTATCATGCTTCAGAACCTGCAGAACAACTCCACAACCATTCCTGACTTACTAGGCATGTTTTAAAAATATCTGTTAAAAGCCGGGCATGGTAGTGCATGTCAGCCCTGCTCTAGGGAGGCTGAGGTGGAAGGATTCCTGGTTTAAGATCAGCCAGGGATACACATCAAGACTTTAATCCCAGCACTTGGGAGGCAGAGGCAGAGACATACGGAGGCAGGCATCTCTGTGAGTTTGAGGCCAGCCTAGTCTACAAGTTTCAGGACAGCCAGGACTGTTTCACAGAGAAACCCTGTCTTGAAAAACAAGACAAAAAAGTGGGTTGGACATAGTAGCCCACACCTTAATTCCAGCCCTTGGCAAATAGAGGCAGATCTCTCTGAGTTCAAGGCCAGCTTGGACAGATGGCTTATTGGTTAAGAGTACTGTTGTTCTTGTGGAGGTCTGGGCTTTGATTCCCAGTACCCATGGGGTGGCTCAAAACCATCTAGAAGATCAAATGCCCTCTTCTGACTTTTGTGGGCTTTAGGGACACATGTGGTACAGACATAAATGCAGGCAGAACACCCTTAACACAGAAATCAACCTCAAAAACCCAAAACTAAAAAGGTGAAGAATCCTTGGCAAAGACAGTATCTAGCTGAATGGGTGCTGCTGGATTTCTAATTATATTTTGTAGAATTTGAGGCAGGTGAATTAATCTTCCCACTCTATGTGGACAAATAGAAAACCAATAGTTTGGAAACTTTTTTTTTTTTTAACCCATGACAATGGAGTCACGGTATCAAAGACAATTATGTGTATGTGTGTGTGTGATGAAGTGGTTGAGGTAGTGGAAGGTGAGAGGTGGATATGATCAAGGTACACTGTATACATGTTTGAGTCGCTCAAAGAATAAACACACAGTATTCTTTATTTTTATGTTTGTTAGTGCCTGCATGGAAGCACTGTGTGCACATCTGATGCCTTCCTTCAGGGGCCAGAAAACCCATAACCTAAAACAGGAGCGGCAGATGTCTGTGAGGTGGGTGTTGGGAACGGAACCTAGGTCCTTCGAAAGTAGTCTTTACCTCTTTCTGCTTGCTCTAAGGGACACTTTGTGTTTTGTTCGTTTTAAAGGATACTGGGTTAAGAGCGATTGCTGATCTTCAGGGAAGCAGGGGTTCGGCTTTCAGAACCCGCATGGCCGTTCACAGCGATGTCAATTAACTCCAGCTTTGGGGGGGTCCGACGCCCTGTGCACGCAGACACATGAATACACACAAAATAAACCTTCTCAAACAGGAAAAGACTTCCCTCCAGACCCCACGGCCCACACCAGGCGGCGAGCAAGCACGGGCCTCAGCGGCGAGCGCCAGGGTGGCGGGGCCGCACCGTACCTCAGCGCGGCTGGGGGCCGAGCGAAGAGACGCTCCCCGCCGGGGATGCCGGAAACGCGACTCCTCCAGCCCGGGTCCGCCTCAGCAATTTCCGGTTCCGGTAGCGCCGCCTCAGAGGGATTTCCGCTGCCAGGATCGCCTCAGAGCCTCCACGCAGGTCTCCGCGGTGACCTCCAGGACCCAGCGCCTGCCGGACGCCACCGGCGGAGAGCTCTGGGGACAGCGGGGGGGGGGGCAGAAGCAGGGCTAGGTGACGTCGGGGCCGCGCGGACCACGCCCTGTTGGTTATAAGACTACCTCGCCTCTTGCCTCCAGAAATTTCCGTCAAGAGACGGCGTCTGAGTTGCCATGGAAACAGTTCGGGGCGGGGCTGAGCGACGCAGCAGCAAGGGGAGGAGTTTAGGAATGATAGGGCGACCTTTGATTGGTAGCTATCCCGTACTCCACCGCGATTGGCTCCGGATCGGCACATGCGCAGTAGGAGGAAACAGGCCAATAAACCCGAATAGGGGAATACTCTCTCTCTTCCGGTTCCCACTAGCCATCAAGGAGGCGCGCTTGGGCTTCTGGGAAATGGAGTTGCTAGCAGCGGATGGGGCGGGGCTTGGGGGCCCGAGTTAAGTGTGGTTGGCAGCGCCTGCGCGCCGTTGTCAGGGCCCGCGGAGGGTGCGCGCGCAGCACCTTGGTCCCCGGAAGTTTTTGCTGGGCAACTGAAAAGGTGAGTCAAAGTTACGGCTTGGGACCAGAGCGGCGGGCCGGGCCAAGGGAAGCCGCGGAGCTCACGCCTTCTTCCGAAGTACCGCGGTGACGGGCCGCTCGCTCGCTCGATCGATCGCTCGGTCGGGAGCCTGTGACATCACCTGGGGAGTGGCGGCCGGCCGAGGCTGGCGTTCGGGAGGGCGGGCTGCGCCTGTGAGCCTCCGCGTCAGCGCTGGCTTCTTTTTGATTGTGCCCTTGTTCGTCACCTAGGCAAATAAATGTTAGTTCCGCACTTGTGGAAGAGTCTAGCCTTTGGTCCTCTGGTGTGCTGCGTTCTAGGGACGGTACGAAGCTGAAGTAGGGTAAGTTAAACGGATAGGTGCATGATAAAGGCAGACGTATCATAGCCTGAATCTCTGGCTGTGCAACCTTTGACAGGGGACCTCAGCACTCGAATCCCCTTAGTTTCTTCCACCCACACATATTGAGCACTTTACGTTACACAGGGAACTATCACCTTCCTTTGGGCTAGCTCTAAACTCCAGTGATATCTAAAAGTGGCTCATACCTAGAATCCTAGCTTTCAGGAGGTTAAGTAAAGAGGATTTTGGGGATTAGTGAGTTCCCTGACAGCCCAGCATGGACTACAGAGTGACACCCTGTCTCAGTAACTAAAGCTGGAGGTGGAGGTATGTGCTAGTAAGCTCAGCAGCACATGGGAGTCGAAGGAAGACAGGAGGGTCAAAAGTTCAAGGTCAGCCTGGGATGTTTCACCCCTTCCTTAAGGACTGAACAGTTGGCTCGGTGTTTGAGTGCTGACTGCTCTTCCAGAAGACCCAAACTGGTTCCGAGTTCACAACTGCCTGTAACTGCACGTGACCTTTACAAACACTTGTGTTCACAGGCACATAGCTACATGAAGACACACAACATACACAGAATTTAAACTCATAAAAATAAATGTTCCTCAATCCTGCATATCTAGTTTACATTCTAACGTTGTTTGGGATACTACATAGAAAATCAAGCCAATTGTATAATATGCCTCCATGGTGCCTTATCTACATGTCTGGAAGGCTTTCTCTGCTTGCAGTTCACTTGGTAGCCTGTGCTGACATGCCTGAACTTCTTTACTGACAGCTCACAAGCAGAACTGTGTGGCTGTTTCTCGTCAGAGACAGAGGCGCTGCACTGGTTTTAGGCTCTGTGTGGGTATATGCCAGGTATTTGCAGGCTCCTGGACAGGGTGGAGACTTGTCGAATATTTGTTTCAACTATGAAAAGATGTGTTGCATTTGTTTATGTTTGCATTTTTTAACTATGTAAAGATGTGTTGCTGTTTTACCTTGCCTACCTAAGGCACCTGATTGGCTTAATAAAAAGCTGAACAGCCAGAAGGGAGGGAGGAGATATAGATGGGACTTAGTAGGAGGAGACATTTAGGCTTGGGGGAAGAAAGAAAAAGAGACACCAGGGTAATACCAGGGGTCAGACAGACACACAGAGGAAGCAGGAGAGTAGGACATACGGTTAAAAAAGAGTAAAAAGGCCGAGACAAAATGTAGATAAGTAGAAACAGGTTAGACTAAGTTAAAAGAGCTTGTGGGACAAGCCTAAGCTAAGGCTGAGCAATCGTAACATGAAGCGTCGGTGTCTTTATTTGGGAGCATGTTGGCAGCCCAGAGAAAATTCCAACTACAGAGGCGGAAATTGGGTCCTGTGGAAGAATAGTGTTAATTCTGAATTACTAAGACATGCAGCCTACCCCGTGATCACTGTTGTGATAGTAAACCGCAGTGACAAAGGGTAGAATCTGACATTCGTTCTAGTCGGGATGTGACTGCCAGGGTGGAAGGGCTACGGGCTAGATGGAGTGATGGCTTTGATTTAATCTAAAAGACTAAGTGTATTGATCATCCTCAATGTTTAATTTTCCTTTCCACACCTTAAGGTGGTGGAAGGCACTTGCTGATTTCCACAAGTTAGTCTGAATTGAATTGCCAAATTGCAGGAGAGGGCTTGCCATTCCAGCTCTGTGCCACAACATAGGTTCATTAACAGAAGCACTGACTTCCACAGTTCCATTCGAACTATACCGTTTCCATCTTAACTCTGAGTGAGAATAGTTTCCAAGGGGCTGCAGTCTGTGATGTCTCCTTGGGAGACGTTAACGAGACTTCTTGCTCTGACACTGTTGCTAATGCACCAGTCAGACTCCTTGTTGGTAACTGACATCTCACAGAGAAGTAGACTTACGGAACTGGTAGCATTAATCTCCTGTGCTCTAAATCCAGATGCATGAAGCAGATAAAACTTGTTCCGATAATTTAGGGTAGTATTGACTATGGATAGCCATACTGAAGAGTTATTTTAAGGCATTGAGTTTTATTTCCCGTGCAAATAGGGATTGTTTGAACTCCCACAGGGTCAGGGAGCCACTACAGGAAGATCCACATCTCCCAACTTACTGCTAGGTTAATTGGAGGATTGGGGATAAAGCCAGTTTGTATAGTGTGCCCCTGTTACCTTGTTAATTGCCACAGATGAAGTATAGCAAAGAACAGTTTGTGGCTTTCAGGGTTCTGAGTCATTTGCCTCTCCTCTGTCACCAAATCCATACGTTGTGCCCAGGTGGGAGGGTTCACTGTCTACTTTAAAGACCTCCTGTATTTTTCTTCTCCAGAGGTGTGTCCACAATCGCAGCATCTGAGATATTCCTCTTGATAATTCTAGATTTTTATCCACTTTGGTGAGATCCACAGTCTTTTATCTCCTGTGGAAACATAAGCATACCCTCCTTGTCCTCTGCTTCAGTTCCTGCTTGAGTTTCTGCACTAACTTCCCTCCACGCTCGACTATTAATTATAAGATTAAATAAGTCCCTTCCCCCCAAGTTGCTTTTGGTCATGGTGTTTGTCACAGCAATAGAAAGCAAACTATGACAACATGTAAGTGTGTGACTGTGTATGACAAGGGATGCTTGTAGAGAACAGAGAACAACTCAGATTGTCAGCCTTGGGAGCAAGTGAAGTACCTTCACTTACCAAGCCAGAAGTTCTCAATCTGTGGGTCACGACTCCATTGGGGGGGTCAAATGACCCTTTCACAGTGGTTGCATATCAGTATCCTGTGTGTCAGGTATTTATATTATGATTCATAGCAGTAGCATGTAGCAGGTCTTTCTGTATCCTGCGAGCCTGCTCCCAAATCACCACATAGAGACTTAGTAATTATGAAAGCTTAGCCAATAGCCTAGGCTTATTTCTAACTAGCTCTTATAATTTAAATGAATATTTTTTAATCTATAATGTTTTGTTTTGTTTTTTTAATGTGGCTCAGTTACCTTTAGTTTGTAAAACCCATGCTGCTTGCTCTGCATGCTGTTATCTCCTCCCCTTTTCTTCCCAGCATTCTCTCTGCCCTGCCCTGAAAATTCTGCTTAGCTATTGGCTGTTTAGCTTTTTATTAAATCAATCAGATTGATACATCTTCACAGTATATAAAAAGATTATTCTACAACATTCCTCTGCTTTTTTCTAAATAAAAATGAAAGGTTTTAACTCTAACATATTAAAATTATATACAATAAGAGCAATTATCAAAAAAATAAGAATTATCAAAAAAAAAAAACAATTATCAGGTAAGAATTACATTTACACCAGGTGGTAGTGGTTTACACCTTTAATCCCAGCACTTGAGAGGCAGAGGCAGATGGTTCTCCGTGAGATCGAGACCAGCCTGGTGTACAAGAGCTAGTTCCAGGACAGGCTCCCAAGCTACACAGAGCTTTGTCTTGAATAACCAATAAATAAATAAGCAAATAAATAAATAAATAAAAGAGTTACATGTACAGTGTCTAGTCCATTTATATTTGGCAAATTCAGAGAAAATATTCCATTATCTACCTAAACTATTTTTGTCATAACTTATATTACCATCCTAAAAATATGTTTTTAGGTCTTAAAACATCTTTTTAGTTAAACAACTTAAGCTTTTTGTTTCTTAACCTTATGAACTTTGTATCTCTTATGTGAGTTTCATTTTTTTAATTTGATAACAAGGCAAAGGGTAACTAGAAGGATCTTGTTTTCAACTCCTTCGGAGACCTGAGAAGGCTATAATATTACTTGAGTGCAGAGGAAACACCTTCCAAAACTGTAGAAATGACAAAGACATTTGGCTGCCTAGACAGTCATCTAAGTTCCCCTGCAGTGTTGGGGCATCCACCTTCAGCTTACAGGCCTACAGCATCTGACAGGCCTTCCTGTGAAGCAGGAATTTTGAAGGACTGTCCCACCTTGTCTTGGCAAAGTTCAACAGTCACCTTCTTTTGTCTTCTGCTGGCCCAGTTTTGACAGCACACTGTCAGCAGGTGAGGCAAGGGCAGTTTCTTTGCCCAGTGACTAACTTTGCCACAGTGAAAGCAAACTCCATACGGAGGGTCTTCGAAGTCCATCATCCTTTTTTTTTTTTTTTTTTTTTTTTTTTTTTTTTTTTTGAGATGGGGGTTTCTCTGTGTAACAGTCCTGGCACTCTTATTAGAACTCACTCTAGACCAGGCTGACCTGGAACTCACAGAGATCCGCCTGCCTCTGCCTCTGCCTCTGCCTCCTGCATGCTGGGATTAAAGACGTGTGCCACCACCTCCTGGCTCCATCATCCTTTTTTGAAGTAATTTGGTGCTGCCAGGAGCTGACGTGTCTTGTTGTCATAATAAGCCTTATGTTATTAAAATGTCTTAAATGCCAGGTTCTTTAGATCTGTAGCTGTAGATCATCTCTACAGATCTGTTCTGTAGATATATCTAAATTATATTTGTTTGACCTTGAAAACATACCTAACATGGCTGCAAATTTGATTATAGATCACTAGCTACCAACCTGCATTTTTTAATTATCTTAAACAGTTTGTAATTATAGCCTTTAAGGACTAGAACTTTACATTTTACATTGAGCTACATAGGTACGATACCTTAAACAAGAGTAGAAACATATGTATAATATGTTATAGCAAACCCTTAAATTTATATCAATAAATAAAAATCTTTACCAATGTAAAATATTAAGACTAATGGTTGTTCAAAACTAGACTCAACAATCCACTGTTTTATCTCATTTTTATATTGTGTCTCCCCTTTTTCTCTTCCTAAAGAGATCCCTGAATCTAACCTAATCTCTAATCTTGCCAGCCCTTGTGAGCCAGAATCAGCCTTTCCTTCTCTGAGTTGTTTCTGTGGGATATTCTGTAACAGCAGTCGTAAAAGAACACAGTAAATGCCTGCTGGAATGTTGTCACCAGCACAGCCAGCTGGGCTGCTAACCTCTGGGAAGGCAGCAGGGTCTGAGTAACAGCCTTTGCAGCCCAGTGTGTTACACAGCTGCTTGGCTGAAATAAAAGAGACCTCTGCTCTGCCACAGCTCTGGAGAAGGAACAGCTTTCCCTGCTGTGAAATAATCCTTTTGTACTCTATGAAGATGTGTCTTTGCCAAGGCACCTTCTTATTGGTTTAATAAAGGAGCTAGGCCGGAAGAGGTTTGGTGGAAGAGCCAGACTGAGAGAACATTGGAAAGAAGAAGGGCGAAGTCCTGAGAGCCATGGGAGTCACCAGCAGATGCCGAGGAAGCAGGAGATGAACATGCTGTATACTGAGATGTGGTAGAATGTAGATAAAATATAGGTTAATTTAAGATGTGAGAGCTAGTTAGTAACAAGCCTAAGCTATGGGCCGAACATTTATAGTTAATAGTCTCTGTGTGGTTATTTGGGAGTGGCTGACTGGACAGAGCTATTGGTCCTGACAAATAATTCCACCTACATGTCTCTCTTTGCTGAGGTGTCTGTAACTACTTATCTGGATGGCTTGTGGCTTTCAAAGGCAAGTTCTGGAATTCTGTAAGTCACGAGTAAGAAGAAACAGGCCCAAAAGGCTCTGGGATTCCAACATGGAAAAAAGAAAGGGATGTGCAGAAGGAACAATGAAGGGGGCTGGGCAGGCTCCCGTGTGCTCAGGTTCCTTTCTGTTGCTGTGATGAAACTCAGGGAGGAAAGGATGTCTTTGGCTTACACATCCAGGGCCCCGTCCATCATGGAGGGAATTAAAGCATAGACTTGGCTCAGAGGCTCAGAGGGACACTGCTTGCTGGCTCATGCTCGCTCATGTGGGTTTCTTTTACTGTCCAGGGCCATCTGCATAGGCTGGTGCTGCCTTCAGTGAGCTGGTCCTTCCACATCAATCAAGGCATACAGAGATCTGAGTTCAACCCTCAGGACTCACAGGAAAATCTGGGTGTGATAAGCGCACACCTGTAATCCTAGAACTGGGGAGTCAGAGATGGGAGATCCTAGGTTGAACTGGCCAGACAGACTGTGGACTTGACAAGCTACACTGCCTAAAACACAAGGTGGGTGGTGCCTAGGCAGCAGCCCGAGAGGTTTACCTCTGGCCTCTGAATGCCTGCACCCGCCCTTTGCAGTCCTCAGACTGGCCCGTGTCACTCTGACGCCTGCCCCTTTCTGTGTTGCAGCATGATCTCCTTCTGTCCAGTCTGTGGCAAAAGTGTTCAAGGATCATTCAACTTCTGCCCATACTGTGGCAAGGCCCTGCCTGTAGAGGAGCATGCAGGAGCCCAGGCTGGTGTTACGCCCCTTGTGTCATCCTTTCGAGGTAGGAACCGGCAAAGCCCAGCCCCACCCTACAGTCTCTTACAGCTTCTGTAGTTTGGGCCACACTGTTGAGACCCCTGTCTACATAACTGTGGTCTCTGGGTCTGACGACCACAAAAGGGAGGTTTGCCCTTAAGCATGTTCACAGAAACAGAGGTAGCCATGGCAACAGTGTCTTTAGCAGTTTCTTCACTGGACAGCTGAGTCAGCCATTTCTTAGGGGAAAGACACGGAGCTCAACTCAAAGCACAACAAGCCAGACTCAGTAAAATGCAGCCATCCCATGTGTACATAGTCCTAGCACCTCACCAGAAGGTTCCCAATCTTCGTGCGAGACAGTCTTCATGCAAGGAGTAGCTGACTGTGTTGGGTGCGCACAAACACAGTGTTTACTGTATATTTCTTGTTTAAGGGCACACCTGAGTTTAGAAGGCAGCTTACAAGAGTCTGCATTCTCTCTCCCCCATGTGGGGCCTGGGGATCAAACTCTTGTCATCAGGCTCAGTAGCAAGTCCCTTTACCCACTGAGCCATCTTGCTGGGCTTCTGTGGTTCTCTCTAGTCCTCACATGGTAGTTTTCAGCTGTCATGCTGCCGGGGTGTGTTACTTATCATCCACATGGGTTCTAATGAAGCTAAAGGGGGTCTGCGATCACCGAACCGCCTTAGAATTGACAGCTGCTACAGGTATGGCACGTGTGCCTGGAATCTAAGCACTTGGGAAGCTGAGGCAGGAGATTCACCATGAGTCTGAGTCCTGAGCTACAGAGTGTGATCCTGGCTCAAGAATCAAACAGAAACGGGGCTGGAGACATGGCTCAGCGGTTAAGAGCACTGGCTGCTCTTCTAGAGGCCCAGGTTCAATTCCCAGCACCCACATGGCAGCTCACAGCTTCACAGATGCCTGTGTCTTCTGTCCCAGGGGATTTGATGCCTTCATGTAGACATACCTGCAGGCAAAACACATAACGTGAAAATAAGTACATTTTTAAAAAGGAAGTTTCTTAGAGGCTAGAATGACAAGTGATGGAAGATGAAAGAAGAGGCTGGGGCTGGAGAGGGAGAGATAAGCAGGAAAAAGGGGCACCTGGTCAGTGCACAGTGAAGACAGCAGGGCTAGCCTGGGAAGCGCAGAGAGAGCCTGGTTTACCCTGAGCACGCGGTTCAGGGTTGGCTGTGTTCGGAAGGCCCTTCAGGGTGCTAACCTGTATTCGGTTCCCTTTTAGGCTCAAGAAAAGAGCTGAACTTCAGTTCTGAAACCTCTCCCAAGAAAGTGAAATGGTCACACACTGTCTCTTCTCTCCCACCCTCCTTCCTCTCTGACTGTGACAGCTCTGAGTCTGAATGTACCTTGCATTCTCCCGAGAGAGCCGCAGGTGAGAGCTAGGGTTGGTCCAAGTCTGGGTGGGGCAAAGACGGTCATCTGACAAGGTCTGGGGAGGACTGTGCCCTGAAGAGGGGGAGCACTGTGCCCTGAAGAGGGGGAGCACTGTGCCCTGAAGAGGGGGAGCACTGTGCACTGAGGAGTGCGTGCGCTTCCGTTCACTTCCTAGCGCCCATGAGCTGACGTCTCACCGCCTGTAACACAGCCCCAGGACGGCCAGTTCCCTCCTCTGCTCCCCTCTGCACCGCATGCAGGGGAAATTACACAGCACACATGCCGAATTAAACATTAAATTAAAAATGAAAAGCGTTTGAGAAGCTGCTACTGCTGTTTCAACTGAAACGTCAGCCAGTCAGCTCTGCCGGGAACTTCTTCCCAGGGTCCCCTTCCTGCCCATCCCCACAGGGGCCTCTCACACCTCAGGGTGAATTCGTGGTCCACAGTCCATGCTCTCTGCCTTGGCTCTTACCACTCCCCAAGCCCTGCACTAATCTCACAGCTGTTATCATTTACCATTCTGTGTTTCCTCGACAATTTCCTTGTCCCTAAGCTGGGACTCAAAGCTATCTTCCTGGTCCCGCTTCCCAAAGCACTGCGATTATGGGCACACGCCATCACATTCAGTTTTTGAGTAATTTTTTTTTTTTTCTCCCAATCTTCCAACTGATGAATTCTTTCTCTAGCCATATCTGGCCTGCCATTTAATACCCATACTGTGTTTCTGACTGCATATCCCAGTAAACAGAAGACCCTCTTAAGAGACTATCCATGTCTACACTCTGCTATTCTTTCCCTCAGACCGGCTTGCCTTCACCTCCTGCTGGTCTGCCATGCTCCCCAATTCCCGCCATTTACAGACTGGTATCTGCCCTCATTCATCCACTCATGCCTTCTGGTCCCATGTCCCTTGCAGCCTCTTTTCCTGGCCTGCATGTTCTTTGTGGAAGGAACCATACAGAACTGATATGTGTCATAGCAACCACTGCTGGGAAGAGAGGCCTGATGTCTGGGTGTCTTTCAAGATAAGCCCGAGTCTAACACATTTCTGGGCCCTCTGCTTAGCTCAGGACATAGCCAAAACCCATTTCAGGGTGTGTTGGGGGGAATGTAATGTCTTGTCTTCCTGGCAAACTTGTACTTAGCCAGTAAGACTCTGCTCTGCTGTACCTCCCTTCAAGAAGCCTCCCTTGACTCCTTCCAGCCACTTCTCTCTTCTGGACCCAACGTCCACCTTGCCTGCTTTGTCTCTGACTCCGGTTCTGACTGGTCATGTTTAGGTCTGAATCCCCCTGCGCGCCGGGAGGGGTCCAAACCCGACCCATGTGGAACAAAGATTCTGATTGCAGAGGCTCCGGAGGGTGCACAGATGAGTAGGGACAGCATCTTGGGCACTGCTGTTCTGGCGCTTTCTCTATGTGGTCATCTCCCCACAGGCACAAGGAGCAGACCCCCGACTCCCAGAGGCAGCCCACAGGCCTCCAGGCTAAGTCCTCAGACCCTGAAGCGGAGCCGGGTGACCACATCACTCCAGGCTTTGCCCACAGGGACAGAGCTGACAGACAAGAAAGGGCAGCACTGGACACTGAGGGCCCTCCAGAGCCGGGATGACCAAGGCATTCTCTATGAAGGTGCACAGGGGATGGGCCAGGCCACCGACAAGGGCACTCTAATGCCTAAGGACGGCAGTTCCACAGAGGAAAGATGAACTAGGGCTCAGGATTTGACCATTGTATCACTGTGGTAGGGAGGGCACAGACTGCAGAGCACCCAGGAACCAGAGGGAAGGTTACAGGGAGTGACCAAGGCAAGGTGTGACCCTCCTCCACTGTGTTGGGACACTGCCAAAAGCCACTTAGGAGAGAAGGAGGTGGATTTGCTTCACAGTTCAGTTCCTGATAACAGGGAAATTAAGGCAGGAGGGGCCGGTCACACCATAAAGAACAAAGGGCAAAGTTGAATGCGTGTTTGTTTGCGCTCAGCTCCATATCTCCACTCTTAAGAGCCCTGGATCCCTGGGAGGGGGGAGGGGGGAGCATGGAGGGAGGGAGAGGGAACTGGGATCAATATGTAAAATTATATATATATCATTTATTTAAAAAAAAAAAAAAAACCAAAGAGCCCTGGATCCCTTCCTAGGGAATGGGCTGAGTTTTCCCACATCAATTAAGACACTCCCCCACAGGCCATCCCAATGTACGCATTCCCTCATTGATTCCTTCTTGCCAGTTAATTTAGGTTTGTGTCAAGTTGACAAACTATCACACTTGCCTAATGTAAGACTAGATTTAATCTCTGGAACTTTGAGAGAGGAGGGAGGCAGAGGAGCATGGTGTACCAAATGTATGCTTCCCCATGGGAACCAGAAAACTGGCTCCTGGTTCCGAGCAGCTTAGGGACTGAGCGGAGCCCTGACCCTCCCCTCAAGTTCTGATGGTTCCCTCTGCCATTTCACAGCTGAGCCCAGTTCTGCCATCCCCTGTGAATCAAGGACTTGGAAGCGTAGATTCTCACTCAAACTGGTGAGTGGTCCAGGGGCAGCTCAAAAAGGAGGGTGTAGGACTTTTAATTATTCCTTACCTCTGAGCCCCCTGGAAGCCTGGTGAGCCCACCCTGAAAACAGGGTGCCCCTAGTCTGTGAGGAGCCGTGGGACTCTGACCGTCCTTCACTCTGGGGGCACAGGTGAGGAGATGTTTCCTGGCCGTGTGACCCTGTCCCCTCATAGCTCCTAGTTCCCACATCAGTTCTGCTGCCTGCCTCCCACATAGGCTTTGGTCAGGCACTGTGCGTGTCAGGGTTTTGGGACAAAGTGTCTGTGTAAAACACATGAAGGAGCATTTATTCAGTTCGTGATTTTGGAAATACGAGTCTATCATACGGGGAGGATGTTGTCAAGCAGAGCATCTCACTTGTCACTCGTGGAAGGTGTGCTTGAAGCAGCGCATCTGAGAGCTTGAGCAAGAGGGTGCCGGGGTTAGTGTGCCTGTGCAGGCCCCCATAGGCCTACTGCCGTCTGCTCCAGGGTTCCTGAGTGACAGGCCCCAGCTAGGAGACTCTTGTGCACTGTCACTGGATTCCGTCAGCAAGTCAGACTTGACAGACGAGAAGAGAGGAGTGGAGAGCGAAGGAGAGGGAAGAAGGAAGGAGTCAGATTGCGGTGCGTGTATAGTACCTGCCCAGCATGCACAGAGCCCAGGTCCTGTCACCGGCACTGACAAGCCAAGCGTGGCACCTGGAGCGTGCAGGCAGGAAAATCACAAAAGTTTAAAAGTCCAGTTACAGCAAGAGCTTGAGACCTGTGTTGGCCGCACGAGGCCGCATGGGGCCGTGGAGGTGGGGCAGAAAGGGAGAGGGGTGTGGGACAGAGCCCTGGCTGCGTCTGATGGTAAGGTCTTAAGAAGCAAGGGGGAATAGGATATGTAGTTAAAGGACTTGGCTGTGTGTGTGTGTGTGTGTCCAATCTTTAAAAAGTATATATTTCATTTGGTGTGTATGAGTATTTTGCCTGCTTGTGTATCTGTGCCACTTGCATGTTTGGTGCCCACAGAGGCCGGAAGAGGGTGCCAGGTCTGGAGTTACAGGTAACTGTGAGCTGTCTGATGTGGGTTCTGGGAACCAAACCTGGATTCTCTGTAAGAGCAACCAGTGCTCCTAACCACTGCGTCGTCATCTCTTCCGGCCCCCACGCACCTTTTTTTTTTTTTTTTTTTTTTTTTTTAATCGGTTCTCAGTTCTCAGTACATAGACCAGGTTGGTCTGGAACTCCCTGGCAGTTCTGGCCATGTCCTCATTACAAAGGAGGTGGCTAGGAGATGAAGCTTTTAGCAAAGAGCCACATATCTAGGGCAGACTTGTGGATCAAATAATCACAGGCAGGTGAGTCCTGAGAAGCACAGCCTGCTCGGCTGTGATACTCCAGGGACTGCGCGGATACAGAGACAGGAAGCAACGGGGCCTTGCTGGGAATTGGGGGCCCTTGTGTAAGGGGGTTTGGGGTAACCGCCTCTGCCCTCCTCTCACCCCCAGGACTCCAAGGATGGGCGCCTTTTCAATGAGCAGAACTTTTTCCAGAGGGCAGCCAAGCCTGTACAAGGTACTCCACCACCATGGCAGGGCCCTTAATACTCAGTGCCGCGCTGACCAAAGCCCGGGGGTGCGCCCGCCTGCACCCACAGCCTGACCCCATCACCCCCAGCCCTCTGGCCGTGGGAGACAGGTGCGGCTGGAAAGACAAACGGTGACTGTCGCGACACTGCGCTGGCTGTCACGTCACAAACATCCTCCTGGTGTCCTCGCGGGTGTCTCTGTGCTCTGTTAGCCATACTCCCTGGGCTGTATAAGTCTGTCATGTGGTGAGAGCAGCTCGCTGGGGGCTCTGCCCTCCCCCCAACGGCCGTCCGTCCGTCATTGCTGTGGTGCTGCTGCCTTGGAGGTGGCCTGCTGGGAAGGGTTTACCCCATAGGCAGGAGCTGAGCTGCCACCCCATAGGTCCCCCGCTTGCACTGGCCAGACCGCAACACACCCAGCCCCCACCCAGCGCAGGGGCCCAGTGCCGCCCGCCCGTGGCTGGTTAGACGCCTGTTCCTCTTGTCAGTGTTGTGTGTGACCTCAGAGGTCACCTGTCTCCCTGCCTGCCTCCCTTTCTTTCTTTCGATCTTTTGAGACTGGGTCTCGTATAGCCCTGGATTTCTTGAAGTAGAAATGTAGTCAAGCCTGACCTTGAACTCCTGACCTTCTTGCCTCCACCTCCTCTGAGTACTGGGATTACAAGTGTGCTCCACCATGCTTGATTGTATGCAGTGCTGGGCCTGGCACCCAAGACACTGTGCACGCTAGGCAGGCACCCTACCAACTGAGCTCACCCGAGCCCTTCCCGGTTGCTCTTAGCCCCGTCCTTCATGCCAGCCTTGTGCATGCTTGCTCAGAAACTACCGGCAGACATGGATCACAGGTGTGCCCACCCTGCCTCACCCCTTCCCATTGTCACCCGCAAGGGTGGCCTGCCGGTGAGGACAGATGAAGAGTCTGGTCTGGGCTCTGCGTCTGGCCTAAGCAGGGCTTACCCCTGCGCCTGGCCTCTGGCCGACCTTGAGTCTGACCTGACCGCCTCCCGCAGTGAACCGGTGGAAGCAGCTGCGCTCAGTCCCGCTCCTGGCCATCCCCACCTGCGTTGGCTTTGGCATTCACCAGGACAAGTACAGGTGAGCGGCCTGGCTTTCAGCCCCCCCCCCCCCGCCTTCTGCTGCGTGGGTGGGCATTTCTCGGGGACCCCATTGCCTTTCTTCAGAATGGGGCTTGACCTACACAGCAGCAGGCGACCTGCGTATCTCCTCCAGCAAAGTCTCGCCCCTTTAATGGTTCTTTTCTCCATCTGGGCAGCAGCGGGGAGGGAGACAAGCAGGGTGAGGCAGCAGCGAGATGAAGGGCTAAGAGACCCAGGAGTAAGGGCTGGCGCAGCGAGGAGGCTCCTGCTTGCTGAGAACTGGGGTGTGGGGACTGGTGGTAGTAAAAGGACTTCTTTATAGTTTGGTGGAGAACTGAGGAGTGAAAAACTCCAGGCCCCATACCTGCCCCAGGGCATTGTGAGAGCTTCCAGGAAAGGGAACAGTGAGCGCCCCATACCTGTGAGAGCTTCCAGGAAAGGGGGCAGTGAGCCCAGAGGCAGGATACACAGCTGGAGATAGCACTGGGGGGGGGGGGGGGGATAAGTGTCCTAACTCACCCTGCCCTCCTGTGGAATACCTTGCAGGGCCTAGCTTCCCACACCTTCAGCCCCCATGATCGAGTCTCTGTCTTCCCACACCTTCAGCCCCCATGATCGATTCTCTGTCTTCCCACACCTTCAGCCCCCATGATCGATTCTCTGTCTTCCCACACCTTCAGCCCCCATGATCGAGTCTCTGTCTTCCCACACCTTCAGCACCCATGATCGATTCTCTGTCTTCCCACACCTTCAGCCCCCATGATCGAGTCTCTGTCATCCCACACCTTCAGCCCCCATGATCGAGTCTCTGTCTTCCCACACCTTCAGCCCCCATGATCCAGTCTCTGTCTTCTCTGACTTCTCTGTCTTCTTGCCCCGACCCGGGAGCAGTCAGCGACAATCCGGGAAACACCTAGGGGAATCGAAGGACAAGGCATACAAAAAGGATGACAGCAAGACAGGATTCTGATCAAGCTGCCAAATTTTGTTTTCTCAGGGCAGGCTTATATAGGACCATGGGCAGGATGTGAGCAGGGTTTGCAAGTGGGCAGGGTGAAAGGGTCAGTAGAAGGAATGCCCTGGACTAATCTTTAACTGGCTGTAAAGCTGCAGCAGGAGGAATATCCTGGGCTATTCTTTAACTGACTGTAAAGATACAACAGGAAGAATATCCTGGGCTATTCTTTAACTGACTGTAAAACCGCAAGCCTGTATCTAGGAATGCTCTGCTGAACATTCTGCTTACTTCTTGAGAGGCAGTGATTTTCTGTCTCAGGCCTGAGGTAGTGAGGATGGTGATGGTCCCCAACGTCTTCTAGGTTCCTGGTATTCCCTATCCTGGGGAGGAGCCTTCAGTCAGCCCTGGATGATAACCCAAAGCACGTAGTATCAGAGAAATGTGTGCTGCAAGTGGCCTGCAGGCTGGTACGTACCTCAGAACCCTTCCACATCCTCTTCAAATCCCGACTTCCCCATCAGGCAGATTAATTCATCTGCATGGATGCACAGAGGCCAGAGCGGGAGTGATGTAGTCAGTGGGGTGGAGGTGGTCCCCCGAGAGCGGCCTGGAGGCCCAGCCTGGAGCAACGGGTGCAGGCATGGTGTTTGAGCCTGTACTCTCAGCATGAATGGGAAGGGTTACGATGCTGTGGGAGAATGGTCAAAGGATGTAGAAGAGAACTTTCCAGGCCAAGGAAACAGCTTGGGTCAAGGCTTGTGTCTGACTTACTCTTTTATTGCTAAGACACTGTGACCAGGAACCATTTAAGGAAAGAGGAGTTTGTGTTAGACTTATAGTTTCAGAGGGTGTGGGTCCATGCGGGCAGGGTGGCAGTAACAGCCAGCAGGCAGTAGAAGCAGCGAGCACTCACACCTGCAACCGGGGAACGGGGAGCACTGTGGATGGCAGGAGCCTTTGAACCTCAATCCCAACCCCAGTGACTCCTCCTCCAACAAGGCTGCATCTGATTCCCCTCAAACAGTCCCACCGACCAGGGACATCTCATTCAGACCACCAGAGCTTGTACAGAGACGTTACTCATTCTCACATTCATTCGTTCACTCATTCATGCCCTCACCAAATAGTCACCAAGTAGCCAGCTTTCTCTGGCTGGGAGGAGCAGAGAGCAGCCAATCCTGTCTTCGTGTCTCTATTCTCAGCTAGGCGGGCAGGGTTCTGGCAAACAGTTGGCTTTTTGAAATGACCCCTGCTTGTCAGACAGTGGTGGTGTACACCTTTAATCCTAGAAGGTAGAGAGAGGCTGGTGGATCTGTGAGTTTGAAGCCAGCCCGGTCAACAGAGTGAATTCCAGGATAGTCAGGGTTACACAGTGCCATCCTGTCTTGCAAAACAACAACAACAAAGAAATGACCCGTGCTTAACGAAGAATGAGGGGCCAGATCACATAGCTTGAGACGAGAGCACCAAGGGAGTGGTGTGCTTGTTAAGTGAGGTGAATGTTCTGGCACAATCTATAGTGTGGTGGGGTGGGGGTTGGTGTGTGCAGAGAACAGCAAACAAGTCCACACAGAGCTGCAAATCCAGGTAAGGATGGGGGGGGGGGTGCTGTGAGCCCTGGGCAAGTTGAGCAAGTGAGTCGCAAAGCAGTCAGGCCATGTAGGGTCGAGCCGGAGCAAAGAAACTAAATGTAAGACGAAGGCTCAAGTGGAAGAGGGTGGGGCTCGCAGAGCATCCGGGCCAGGGGAAGGAGAGATTATAGAAGAACAAGTGTCCCCAGGGATGAGGAGGGGTCTGGAGATAGAAGCAGGATGTGACTGACCCCCTGTGGGTGCCAGTCCAGAGATGCAGGTGGGAATTGCTGGGAAGCGCGTAGCTCAGCAGCAGAGCTGCTCCTAGACCCCCAGGAAGGGGCTTGGCAGTTTGCCTCTTCTCTCTTAGAAAAACAGGCAGAGCCCTGGTGCTGCAGGGTGCTAGTTACTTCTGCAGAGGGACATTAAATCAGCGCAGGAGGTAGAGGGAACGGCAAGTATTAACTAACTGCTAGTTTGTTTAGTTGGAGGCAGGGTTTCCCTGTGTGGTCCTGGCTGTCCTGGAACTAGCTCTGTAGACCAGGCTGGTCTCGAACTCACAGAGATCCTCCTGCCTCTGCCTCCTGAGTACTGGGATCAAAGGCATGCACCACCACCCAGCTAACTGCTGAGTTCTTCCGAAAGTCTAACTTGAGCCATGCTACGCTAGAACTTGGCAGGGTACCGGTTCGTCTGTGGTGAGCCCTAGGTTGACACCTTTGCCTCTTCCATTTGTCATGGCTCTGTCAGTATCCACCTCAAATCCATCCCTCCTCCTCCAGCTGGATGCTCTGGAGTTCCTCCACGACAACGAGTATGTTCACGGGAACCTGACAGCTGAGAATGTCTTTGTGAATCCGGAGGATCTAAGCCAGGTGAGAGCCAGACGCCTCCAGCACACGCATGCACACACACAGGCACACACAAACATCCTTTTTGTGATGCTCCATTGGTAGAGTGCTTTCCCAGCATACATAAAACCCTGGGTTCCATAACTGAGGCCACATAAACTGGGCATGTTGGCACACACCTTTAATCCCAGCACTCGGGAGGCAGAGGCAAGCTATCTCTGTGAGTTCGAGGCCAGCCTGCTCTACAGAGTGAGTCCCAGTACAGCCAGGGCTACACAGAGAAACCCTACCTCAGCCCAGCCTGTCTGAGAACCTGTCCCCCAAAACAGCAGTGTCACAATTGAGACGGGAAGCGCCTCTCCAAGGCTCGTGTGCTGGTGGCACTTTAGAGCTAAGGCAAGTGGACTGCTGGCAGTCTAGGCTAAGGCAAGCGAACAGAGCAGCTTGGGTGCTAAGCTCAGTCCTTAGAGTTGGGGTTTGCGTGCCCGGGTCAACGGACTCTGGCCCCACATCAGACATGCTTATTGATGGAGCCATCATTTGGCGGTGTCTTTGCAAGGTGGTGGGGTCAGGGGTGGGGCTCCAGGAGCGTGCCTTTCAAGGGTCTCTCGTCTCCCCTCCGTTCCTCTCTGCTTCCCAGCCACTGTGAGGTGAGAAGACCCACTACACTCTTGGTCCACCATGATGTTCAGTCTCACCCAAGGCCCAAAGCAGGGATGCAGCTGCGTTTGTCTAACCTCCTGCAACAAAAGGATGCTGAGCCTTCCCCTTTACAGCTGGCAGGGATTGGTGATAGGCAGCTGCTGAACCAGGTGTCTGTGCTCACGTAGGAGTCTGACACCCACACTGCAGTCTAACCATAGGTCTGTGTGACTCCTTGTCCACAGGTGACCCTAGTGGGCTATGGCTTCACCTTCCGCTACTGCCCAGGTGGCAAACATGTGACCTACAAAGAAGGCAGCAGGAGCCCACATGAGGGAGACCTGGAGTTCATTAGTGTGGACATGCACAAGGGATGCGGTGAGAGGGACTCAGTACTTCTCATCCCGGGCAGCTCCGTGAGCTCAGTCCGTGGGCAGGGACACCAGAAGCAGAGGGTCACAGAGGGTGCCATGATGGGGACTGGGGATATAGCGTGTCCTGGCCATGGGTGATGGGGACTGGGGATATAGAGTGTCCTGGCCATGGGAAGGGTTTTCCCTTCAGCACCGAGGAGAACTGGACGGTGGCCTTTGAGCAGTGAGGATATAGGATTTAGGACAGAGGACAGTGGCTTTGTCAAACTTCCAGAGGCTCGAGATTCCCCATCTGGCAGGCAGCGGAGGTGGTGGGCGCTGCTGTAGGGTCTCCTAGGAGTGCAGCTGTAGAAATGGGGATGGATGTCCATTACTGGAGAACGAGATCATGAGAGTTAAGCATTGAACAAGAAGAGATCTGCGTATCCAGGAAGTGTGCAGGAGTGGGTGCAGCAGATTCTCCAGCCCCTCTTTCTTGAGTCTCAACATCATGGCCCTCCAACTGCCTGTTGTGAGGCCTCTGTGATTAGAAGGCTCCTTGCTGCAATCTTTTCCCACTTCACACTATGGGAAATGATTGGAAACCCCTGTCTGTTTGGGAGATGAGAGGCCAGGCCTGACACACAGGCCCCCAGAGCTCATTGGATAAGTGTATCAGCACAAGATGAGCAGCCGGGGGGATTGGGGTACTGGAGTAGATGCATGAGAGTCATGGAAAGAATAAGGGATGTCGGGGCCTGAGCAGGCATGGCTAAGACAGTTGGGTGGTGGAGGGTAGGGACGGACAAACGAAGAGGCGGAGCATCCAGCCTGAGCCACCACTTTCCCCTTTCATCTCCAGGGCCCTCCCGCCGCAGTGACCTGCAGACCTTGGGCTACTGCATGCTCAAGTGGCTTTATGGGTCCCTGCCATGGACAAGCTGCCTTCCCAACACGGAGGAGATCACTAGGCAGAAGCAGATGTGAGTATAAGGGTCTCTAGCACCCAGGACTAGTGCAGGCACGCCTTCAGGCCAGGGAGGAGCAAGAGGGATGGAAAGGCGGCCACCCCCAACCATAGCCCTCTGCGGTGTATTCCGGCAGAAGAGAGTGTGGGCTCTGTGGCCATGCCACCCAGGGCTGGCTTCTGGCTCTACCGGTCTGGGTGAGGGTGAGTACCTTGACTTGTGTGAGCCCCAGGGTTCTCCTGCCACAGACTGCTTTATAGTTAGACCCGAGTAACAGACTGTGAAAGGTTAGGAGGCGCGTGTGCTCTGTACAGGGCTTCACGCTCGTGGCATTGAAGACAACAAACTCATTCTCAGGCTGCATTCCCCGGGCCTGCACCCCAGCCACCCTGCCTCCGTGCCCCAGGGTTAGTGCCCTGGTCTCAGGGGTTCTTCATGTGGTTGGTAAGGACAGAGAGAAGCATTGTCCAGCACCAAGGATAGATGCAAGTCAGCGCCCTGGACTGTCGTTCAGCACCTAGGGTGGCGGCAGAAACTCTGGGACTGGGTTCTTTGTGACACCAAGGACAGTTAGATGTTGGTGTTGTCTGCTGTACGGTGAGGAAATGTGGCCTTGGCTGGGCCCTTAGGGTGTGTTGCTTCAGCACACGGACAGCAGACTCCGGCCCTAGGGTACCCCTGAAGGTCCTGATTCTGTACAGACTGGATGGAGGGCCCCGACCATCCACACAGGCTTCACGGGTGGCTGAGTCTCCAGGATTCTTACCTGTAGCCCTGGGAGGACGAGATCTCTGAGAAAAGAGGGAACACCCCAGGGAACATCCACCGGGCTGCTTTGCCTCCTGATCTTGGGGTACTGTGATATACTTGGCTATTGAGCCCCCGTGGGACCTGCTACCTAGTGTCCTGTCCCAGCCACAGCATACGGTGCTGTTTCTGCAGCGGTAGGATAGTTTCCTCTTGGAGTGCAGCCCAGTGGAGTGAGTAGGTGGCCCAAAGGCTAAAAGATCATGAGTGCAAGTTAGTGAGATGCTCGTGTGGCTTGGATCAGGGACAAAGCAGGGAGCCCACAAACACTGCAGCTTAATCCGGTAAGCTGGCTTATGTCTCAGGTGAGGAGCCTCTGTTCTCCAACACACATCTAGTTTCCTTATCTGTCCCCACATCCAGGGTACAGTGGTGTCACAAGCAGCAAGGAGTATTGTGTGGCCCACCTAGGCCTGAGTGTGGGCCCAGGCCATATAGCAAGAAGCAGCAGGCGCACGGGAGAGTGGTGGGCTGGAGCAATCAAGGGACAGACACCCTCTCCCCAGGTGCAGGAAGCAGTGAGTGGCACTGAGCCTGTGGGTCTAGAAGGGTAGGACATGAAGGGTGTGATGGAGCCAGGCCACAGGGGCTGCTGGGGGACATTATGTTCCTGAGTGTTAACTCTGCACTGGCAGAGTAGGACTGGGCCTGGTCAGAGTCACAGAGCAGGAGGCCTGAGGCAGGCCCAGAGTCAGGACAGGGACTTAGGAGCTAAGTAAGAAACAGGAGCACGGGGTCTGAGAAAGGTTGGCTGGGAGCAGGAGACAAAAGATGGTGGAAGCTAGCCCAGCGGGCAGTCTAGACAGAGAACCAGGGGGCGGGGGACTTGGGGAGCGGCCAGAGCACTCTGTCTTTCCTAAGTGGGGTGTGCGTGCGTGCGTGCGTGTGTGTGTGTGTGTGTGTGTGTGTGTGTGTGTGTGTGTACACGCATGGGCGTGCGCGTGTGGGGTCCATCCTTGCATTTTAGAACATTTTATATTGTGAATTCCTACTGAAGGTATCTGTAATAACTAATCCAGTCTTGTGGAGTTGGGTGTTGAGTGTGAGCTCACACACAGCCACCAGACATGCAGATTCCTAGGCCTGGGTGCAGCCCAGTCAGTACAGTGTCTGCCTAATACCCCATGAGCCAGGCTTAGTGTATACCTGTAATCCCTCCATTGAAGAGGTAGAGGCTGGAGGGTCAGAAGTTCAAGGTCATTGTCAACTACAGAGCAAATTAAAGGCCAGCCTAGGCCATGTGACATCGTGCCACAAGAACACTAAACGTATAATTATACTATGGAGGTTGCATGTTAACCGGTTGGTGAAACTGCTGTGAGCAGAGGCTTTGGGAACTTGACCCTTGGTCCCCACACTCAGCAGTGCCATCGAGAGCGGAGGCTCCGGGTCTCACAGCAAATCTGATGAGGCATGAGTCCCACACGTGAGTGTGTTTGAGTGTGTGCGCATGAGCACATGCCTGCATATATGTGCATACATGTACATACACATCATGTTAGCATCTCTCCCCTTCCCGTGTGCTTCTCCCCTGAAGGTATCTGCACAACCCTGACCTCTTCGTGGGACTGTGTTGCCACTGGAGCAAGGCCTCAGGTGTGTCCTACAGGGGTGCGGGCAGGCCCCGCGCTGTTCTCTGAGTTTTCCCAATCATATGTGTCCTGTGTGTACCTCTTGGTAAAGATGTATGTCCCCCAACAGCAGCTGAAAACGCGCGTGTAAGTCTCGGGCTGTTTGGAGCTGGGAGTGGAATCCAGGACTGGTGCCTGCCAGGCAAGAGCTCACCACTGGGCCACACCCCCAACTTTAACACCTTAGTTTGTTTTCCCTTACTTTTAATTGAACTTTATACATTTTTAAAAATTTAATTTGACACAGGGTCTCCTATACCTACCTCGATGGCCTTAAACTCACTGTGTACCCCAGGCTGGCCTTGAAACCCTGGTCCTCCTTCCTCCACCTCCCAAGTGCTGGGATCACAGGCAAGCACCATGCCTGGGTGCACAAACCTTTTTTAAAATTGTATTTATTTCTACTTCTGTTTTGTGTGTGTGCGTGTGTGTGCTCATGTGTGGGTGTGCACATGTGCATGCTTGCATTTGTGTGCTGTTGTGTGTGTGTGTGTGCTCGCGTGCGTGTGCGTGCGTGCGTGCGTGCATGCGTGCCACAGCACGAATGTGGAGGTTAAGAAGACAACTGCAGGGCTCTCTTTGCTGAGGATGCTGTGGATTCTGAGGATCAGATTCGAGCTGTTAGTCTTGGTGACAAGTGCCTTTAACCACTGAGCCATATGGATGGCTCTGTAATTTTTGTTTTGTTCTTTGAGACAGGGTTTCTCTATGTAGTCCAGGCTGGCCTTGAACTCACAGAGACCCACTGCCTCTGCCTCCTAAGTGCTGGGATTAAAGATGTGCGCCACCACTGCTCGGCAGGCCCTGTAATTTTTTAATAGAATTACATTACTAAGATTGGGTTCCTTATTTTCCTTGTTTGAGACAGGAAGATTGTGGAGGCTTCTTACATTAATATTTGTAGGATTTTGTTGTTTGAGACAGGGTCTGATTTGTACCCACCTGCCTCAAATGCTGAGGCCAAAGGTGAATGCACTCAAGCCATTTGTAGGATTTGGTTGGGGTTTTTAGAATTAAAAAGTGCATAATATTTTTGACTTTATTAGCACTCTAACTGAGTTCACTGGCCATGTTATCTTTGACTTTAAAACTGAATTATGCCAGGTGGTGGTGCATACCTTTAATCCCAGCACTTTGGAGGCAGAGGCAGGAGGATCTCAGTGAGTTTGAGACCAGCCTGGTCTATAAGAGCAAGTTCCAGGACAGGCTCCAAGCTACAGAGAAACCTTGTCCTGAAAAACAAAACAAAACAAAACTGAATTACAGTCTGGGAAGATGGCTCAGTGGGTAAACTGTTTGCCATGTAAGTGAGAGGGCCTGAGTTCACGTCCCCTGAGCCTGCATGAAGCCAAGTGCAGTATTCAGTTCTGTAAATCCAGTGCTCACACCTGGAGACGGAAGGCAGAAGTAGAAGAGGTCCTAACGCTCCTGGCCAGCTAGCCTGTGTGCACAGCAGCACATCAAGAGGCGCTGCTGTGTGCAAGGGTGGGAAGTGAGGACCAGCACTCAGAGCTGTCTGACCTCTACATGCATGGTGAGATGCACATGCATACATGTGAACATGCTTACATGCACGCCCACATAAAGTAGTCATGAAATGAGGTTAGTGGATCAACACTAGAAGTTACAAGAAGGGGGGTAGAGAGAGGGCTCAGTGGTTAAGAGTATTTACTGCAAGCCTTTAATCGCAGCACTCAGGAAGCATAGGCAGGTAGGTCTTAGTGAGTTCAAGGCCAGCCTGGTCTACAGAGCAAGTTCCAGGGCATCGAGGGCTTCACAGAGAACCCCTCTCTCTCTCTCTCTCTCTCACACACACACACACACACACACACACACACCCACACACACCACCACCACCAACAACAACAACAACAACAACAACAACAATGTGCTTACTGCTGCCTGGTGCTGCTCTCAAGCGCCCACATGGCAGCCTACAGCCGCCTGTAACTCTGCCCTCTTGTGGCCCCCATGAGCAGTGAACACAGAAGGTGTTCATAAATAAGTCTTTAAATTCTGTGATGCGGCACGATGAGGTGAACCAAATAGTAGGGTGCTTCAAAAGCACGTGTGAGGGCCAGTACCCCACCTCCCAAACTTAACATTTAAACCAAAGAGCCTCGTGTAGCGTAAACAGTGAGAGCCCTGTCTCCCTCTCTCCACAGCTCTGCTCTCCAGAGCAGCCTTTGTCAGTGCTGGTGTGCTGAGCATGTGTGTCAGTGGCTGTCACTTTAACAGTAGCCTAAACAGATGCTTTGTTTGTTCATTTGGTTTCGTTGTTTTGAGGCTTTCTCTGTGCAGTCCTGGCTGTCCTAGAACTCTCTCTGTAGACCAGGCTGGCCTCGAACTCACAGAAATCCACTTGTCTCTGCCTTCCAAGTGCTGGGATTAAAAGTGTGCTCACCACCACCCAGACAGATGCTCTTTTTAAAGATCTATTTTTATTTAATGTGTATGACTCTGTTGCCTATATGTATGGCTATCCGTACACCAGGTGTAGTGCCCGTAGCACTATAATTGGAATTACAGATGGCTGTGACCCAGCATGTGGCTGCTAGGAATTTAACCCAAGTCTGATGTGCTTAACTTCTTACTGATCCATTTCTTCAGCCCCAGATATATATATATATATATATATTTTTTTATTTAGAGCCAAAGTCTTGGGTTGGGTGGTATCTGGTATCTGTTGGTCTTATGGGATCTCAGTGCTGCGCAGCCTCTGTGACTGTTCCCAGTCAGACAGATTTATCTCTGCTGTGCAGGGGCCCTGTGGGGTAGACTCCTCGTCAGCCCAGAATAGTCTAAGGCCAGCCCAGGAGGTGGGAAGTGACCCTGAATGCTGAGGGAGGGGAGATGGGTCTGTTGTGGGGGCAGGAGCACTGTGCATGCCAGACTTGCTTGCTACATCTACAGCTGATTCCTGCTCTTTCCCAAACTGTTGTGAACTTGGCTCTCAGCTCCCTTTGAAAAGCCTGCACAGCACTGTGTGCTGATAACCCTATGCGGGACACAGCAGACAGGTGCACCATTGTGCCGGGGTGGCCAGCTGTTCTAGCTGGATCAGTGAGGTGCAGGTTAGCGAGAGGCCCTTCTCAGAAAACCAAGAGGAGCGTGACACCCGAGAGGAAGCCGAGAGGAAGCGGCTGCTGCTGACACACACAGAGCTGCACATAGTAAACACAGAAGAAACTGAAGCATCACCATGGGGCTGTTGACAGGGCTCAGGGGTGAAAGCACTCGCTTGGTGATAGGTTCAATCCCCAGGAGCCACATGTGTAATAAGTGAATGTTAGGGGGAAGTACCACTGGGCTGGAGAGACGGCTGGAAAATGCTTGCTGTTCTTGCAGAGCCTGGAGTCCAATTGCCAAACCCACATTGTGTAGCTTACAACTGTCTGTGACTCCAACTGTGGAGGGTCCAAGATCCTCTTCCTGCTCTCCGAGGACACACACACACAACACACACACACACACACACACACACACACACACACACAATATACTTTTTAAAGATATCGTCATACCAGGTGTGGTTAGTACACACCTTTGATGCCAGCACTTGAACAGCAGGCTGGTAAAGCTCTGTGAGTTCTAAGTCAACATGGTCTACATAGTGAGTTCTAGGGCTACATAGAGACTGTCTCAAAAAATAAATAAATAAAACAATAATAAAAAATGGTACCATCATGGTATCATCCTGTTTCCCCAGCATTCAAGAGACCAAGGCAGTAGGATTGTCAGGAACTGGAGACCAGCCTCTGCTACATAGTGAATTGCAGGCCAGCCTGGGCTACAGAGTAAGACTCGTTATAGACTTTTTTTTTTTTTTTTTTTTTTCAAAATTAAAAAAGAGCCCTTCTGACCTACACTCGACTTGCAGGGCCACGGTTATCTGACGTGGCTGGCGAGAAGTTACACCAGGCGTGGGTTGGAGGGACCACAAGACAGGCTGTGACAGCTGAGAGCAATCAGACTCTGTATACCCTCATCAGGGACAGCATAGCGTGGCAGCTGCCAGGGTACAGTGATGTTGGCGAGCTGTACCAGCCTAATGCCTTAATGTCTAAGCTTCCGCGCTTCCTTGTCTTCTAAGTGAACATAGAGGGGAACACAAAGCGGCCTGAAGGCTCCACTGCCAGAGGGAGCGCCTTGGTTCTCGGGCACTGAAAGGCGAACAGTGCCCAGGAGCTGGGGACGCTCCCCTGAACAGTCTGGGGTGCGTGCCTCTCCGGGCGGCCAGGCCAGGCCAGGCCATCTCCGCGGTTCCCTGCACGTTGGCATGCCTGATTGTGTGCTGCCATGAACTAAGTACTGTTTTTCACTTTCCAATGGTTGTAACCTTTTTAAAAGAATACTTGGTGGCACGTAGGGCTTGCCTGCAGCTCGTGCTGGTGACAGTGATGCCCGCCTGCTTGCCTCTGCTCTGTGACTCCTTTTGTGCGCTGTGTTCACGTCCCTGTCCTGCCTCAGCTGGAACCTACAGGCCACGTTAGAGGCGCACAAAGGTCTTCCTCACGGGAATCTGTTGTGCAGCAGTACAGGGTGGATGGGTGGGTGACTGGCCCCACGTGACCGCTGCTGGCACTGACTGCTGAGCGCTCTGGCGTTACCATTACACTGATGCTTCCCACACACGGACAACAGGCATAGACTTCAAGTGGCACTGAACACGGGGCTGCGGATGCCACCTCTAAGCCCCCTCCTGTGCTTTTGGGTGTCTTGACCACAGAGACCCTACAGGAGTACCTGAAGGTGGTGATGGCCCTCAATTACGAGGAGAAGCCGCCTTATGCCATGCTGAGGAACAATCTAGAAGTCCTGCTGAAGGATCTGCGGGTGTCCCCCTATGACTCCCTGGACCTCCAGATGGTGCCTTAGGTGGAATCCAGGTGAGGAAGTTACAGTCTTAACCCCTCACCCCCAGCCAGGCCTGTGAGGGACTCGTTACCCCAGGCCCAGCAACCGGAAGACCCTTGGCTTCCCCATGGGCTCCTGAAATTAGTTCAGGAGGAAGCCAGACAGCTGGGACTCAGCCGGGTGACCTGTGTGTGCAGGTGTGATGCTGCTCCCTGTCCCACTTCTGCTGTTTGTGCGTTTGAGTCAGGGTCTCCTGAAACTCAGCCTATTCTCAAACCCTGTGTAGCTGAGGCTGACCTGGAGCTCCTGATCCTCCTGTCCTGATCCAGAGTGCTGGGACCAGTAGTGCAGTAGTGTCGCCATGCCCAGTTAGGGCATGCAGGAGCAGAGCCCGGAGCCTCCCTCACCACCCTGAGGTGCCTCGATGCCACCAGCCACATTCACCTCATGTCATCTGCCTGCCCAGCTCTGCCTTTCGTCAACAGGGTTCCCTTTGTCTCAGAACCCTTGCCTCCACAGCAAGGCCTCACGGCTGCTTGTCCCTCGTGTTGGTGTGCCTCCAGTACCTCCCAGAAGTGGCAGGAAGGAGGGGCTTAAAACCCTAAAGTTCCTTACAGCCGTGTTTATTTTCCAGAACTTCTGACTTGCAGCTTGAACTGGAAGGTGAAGTGGTGTGACTCAAGGCTTTCTGTGTGAACTCATACTCCTGAAAGTCTCCCCTGAACGTTCGTTTCCACTGCTCCCTTAGGACGTAAGAATCAGCTCTCAGTGGCGGGCTGTGAAACCCCTCATCTCTCCGCAGTTGTCAATGGAGGTGCCTGGATGCTGGTGGCAGCAGTGGCCACTACCTGGGGCCCTCCCTCCTTGGGCATTCCTGTGGTTTCAGAATAAACTGTTTGTAATCAATGCCCAGAGTCCAGTGTTACAGTTCTGGGAGAATCCTTGTTCACTCAGCCACTCTCTGTCGCTTGATAATTGCAGCTGGTCTGAGTGATGGCGCACACACACGAAGCCCAGGGGCTGAGACCAGCCTTAGCACAGCAAGAAAACGTCAGCCTTCCCGCTTGCTCACCCCTGCTTTTGTGAGGTCAGTCACCCATCCAGCCGGTACCACACTTCACCCAGCCACCTTCCATTCATGCATCCCTCCATTCAAGCATCCCTCCATTCATGCATCCCTCCATTCAAGCATCCCTCCGGGCTTCCATTCTTCAGCTACCCGCCTTTATCCATCTGCCTGCCATCTGTCCTAGCAGACAGGGTTTCTCTGTATAGCTCTGGCTCTTCTGGAACTCACTTCTAGATCAGGCGGCCTGAGACTCGCAGCAATTCACCTGCGCCTCCTCCTGAATGCTTGGCTTGGAGGCGTGCGCCACCACCCGACCCTAGCTATCTTTAGTCCCCTTCCACGCTTCTCCTCACCCTCAGCGACCTTGCACCTGTATGTCCGCCATCACACCATTCATTTTCCACGTTGACGATATTAGGGTTGTGTGTGTTGATATGGGTGTGTGTTTGTGAACGCATATACCAGCAGAGAGAAATCCTCTGTAGTTAGCACTCCAGGCAGTTGTGAGGAGCCCTACTTGGGTGCTAGGAACCAAACTTGGGTCCTCTGTAAGAGCAGTAAGCACTCTTAACATGTGAGCTTTCTCTTCAGGCTCCAACGCATTCTCTTCCCTGGGGGATTGTAAGCATGGCTGGACCACCGAGCCTGGCCCAGCCCCTCACTGCCCCCCTCACAATGGCAGGGGCATGTTGGAGAGAGGACGCATTGTGAATTAGTCAGCTTTCCATCACTGTTGCTGAAAAGCTGATGTAGAGAGCTGTAGTTCCTCCTGGACCCCCCCTCCCGCCCGCCACCGGCATTGGGGTGAGCCTTTCTGCTTGTTTATTGTGTAGCAGTTCCCTCCAGACCTAGGTAAGACTTGCACTGCTAAGAGAGACTCCGTAGGACACAGGAGGTAGAGAAAAAGTTTAAAAAAGAAGGAAAAGCTGGGGATGTAGCTCAGAGTAGAACCCTGGCCTAGCATGTGGAGCCCCGGGTCCTTCCCCAGCACTAAAGTTAGAAAAGCGAAGAATGGAGAAAGGCGGACAGAGAGCATGAAGCAGGCTCGCTCCTTGACTTCTAGGGATGAACTAGCGCACCACCTAATATGACGTTCCATACACCTGCTTCGCTTGATCAGGCCCCTCCTGCTACCCCTCACTCTCCTCTTCCCCTTCCTTGGGACTTTGTTCAAACACCTAACAGTCCATCACTTGAGAGCATGTGTGTAGCTGTCTCTCTGTGTCTGTCTCTGGCTTACTCTTCTTAGCATGGTATCTTCCTGCTCCAAGTATTTTCCTGCAGTGAGATTTTTATGTCATTCTTCTTGATGGCGGAATAATATCACTGTGTGTGTGTGAGTGAGAGACAGTGTGTGTGTGAGAGAGTGTGTGTGTGAGACAGTGTGTGTGAGAGTGTGTGTGTGAGAGTGTGTGAGTGTGAGAGTGTGTGTGTGAGAGAGTGTGTGTGAGAGTGTGTGTGAGAGTGTATGAGTGTGTGTGTGAGACAGTGTGTGTGAGAGTGTGTGAGTGTGAGAGAGTGTATGTGTGTGTGCGCGCGCATGTGTGTGTGCGCGCGCGCACGCATGTGCGCGTTCCCCCCCCCCAATTGCTGTGTAACAATCCTGGCTGTCCTGGAACTCGCTCTGTAGACCAGGCTGGCCTTGGAGTCGGATCCGCCTGCCTGCTGGGATTAAATGTGTGCCTGGTCCACATTTTCTTTCTGTATGCATCTGGCTGATTTCACAGCTTACCAAATTGAGACTGGTGTTGCAGTGAACGTGGGCCTGTGGGCCCCTCCTGGCCTGATGACTTCATTCCCTCAGTGTGGCAGGGTTTGCCACTCTTTTGTTTTTTGTTTGCATAGTTGATTCCCCACCTTCCATTTCCACCCACAGTAGATAAAAGTATCATTTTCTTTACATCTTCGCTGGCCTGGAGGGTTTGCTCAGCTGTGCTTTGTTTTCTAGATAACCATTCTAAGTGAGGAGAACTGGGATCTCATTGGATTCTGATCTCGTTTGGTTGGTTGGTTGGTTGGCTGGTTGGTTTTTTTGTTTTTTGAAACAGGGTGTCTCTGTGTAGTTTTGGACCCAGGAGTCTGATCTCTTTAATAGTGCCCTGGGGGGGGGTGTGGGTCTGTGTTCTATTCGGTATGCAGTTTTGGGTTTTTTGCTTGTTTGCTTGGGAGGAGCGAGGCAGGCTCTACTATGTATTGCTGGCTGAACTGGCACTCGCTGTGTAGACCAGGCTGAACTCAGCTCCACCTGCCTTCGCCTCCTGAGTGCTGGGATGGAAGGCGGTCCCCACACCTGACACCATCTTGTTTTTCTTTGTCTGCATGTGTGCAGCATAGGCTGGCCTGGAACTGCAGAGCAGCCCTTCTGCCGCAGCCTCCCAAGATTTTGTCTTGAGTTTTTGTTTCCAAGGTTTCAAAATCCTTACTCCAAGGATAGAGGGACCCAGCAGTTGAGAGTGTATGCTGCTTTTGCCAGTTCAGTTACAAGCAACAGGTGGGGGGGGGGAGGTGCCGCGCAGCTAGCTGTGTGTACTCCAACTCCAGGAGATCTGATGCCCTCTTCTGGTGCCCATGAGCACCTGCACCCACAGTGCAGACACACATTGTTTTAGTTAACTCTTCTGTTGCTGGGATAAAACACTACGATTACTGGAGTCTCTGCAACTACCATGGCCAGTAGAGTAATGACCCACAGGAGGCAAGAAGGTAGTTTGGTGCAGCAAGACTTAGTAGCCAGTGTGGTTCAGACGTTGGAAGTTTGACCCTGAATGTTTACTTTAGGAATATTTAAGCACAGCACAATTTGGTGAACATTTTCCTGGTGATAATTAACTCATTGTGCACAATAAAGCTTAAGACATGACTACATCGAAATTCTTTGGTTCTATAGATTGGTTACATGTGACACCTTCTATAATTGACATGGATAAGGGTCTGGGGGAGGAGTCAGGGAGGTCTCAGCCACAGAGATAGCACAAAGGTCACCATGCTATTAACTGCGTCTGCTCCCGGCCTTTTGGGCAGGTAAGGGATTACACATCACTTCCTTTAAGGGACACCCTCTATGTTTAACATTTCTGGTTCTCTTAGAGCTTCTCTGTGAGCATAATGACCTCTGCCACACATGCCGGGGACAATTTATAGATGAGTTTATTTGCATTTATGGTTTAGGGAGTTTGAGTCCACAATGGTGAGGACAGCATGGCAGCAAGCTGCAGACGTGGCATCAGGGTCAGGAAGCTGAGAGCCTGGCCACAGCTGATCATCACTTCGACATCTTGACCCCTGAGTACTCTGTGGCGTTGGCTGCCGTGGTCCTAAGGCTCTGGGGTGTCCAAGTTTCAAGGCAGAAGAAAGCTTACTAAAGAGAAGCTCCTCCCCTGGCATGGGTGTGAGCATGTCCGAGGGCAAGTGGTCTTCTGTGCTGGTGATGCATTGAGGACTCTAAGATGGGGAAAGAGAAGGGATCAACTAGAACAATGGAAGCTTTCAGAGAGCAGAGAATCGGTCGTAGACAGGCATGGGCATTGGACATTCCATCCTTCCTGTGGATTTATTCCACATGTACTGGCCGGGCCCTAATTCACGCATTTGTGTGTCTTTCATGATAATAATGTTGGGCTCTGTCACCGAAGGCCAGTTTCATGAAATCTTCACACAAGTACAGCAGGGAAACACTAGAGTTCTCACTCAGCAGGTGGAGAAACTGGCTTAGGCCATAGCCGCAAAGCACACATCTCTGGGCCCATGAGGCCAAGGCTCATGTGCAGATCCCTCAGCCTGTCAGGACAACAGTCTCCATGCATAGGGTCTGAGGGACACAGATGTGACTGGGGCGGGCTCAGATTGGATGGTGACTGTAGGGGTCCCCGCCCAAGATTTGCAGGAATAATTTGGAGACACTGGGAGCTCTTGGCTCCACGTGTTGCCAAGAGATGGAGGAGAAGGTTGGGTGCCAAAGGGGAGAACGGAGGTGGAAGGGAGTTGGATGTGGAGTGTGGCCTAGGCATTGTTGCCCAGGCCTGGGTGGCTTTGCAAGCAGGGTGGTGTCAGTAAGGAGGAGCTGGGCATGCGATGTCTCCAGCCACTGAGCTGGTACAGTGTCTGTAGGAAGCAGGAGCAAAATTCTCTCAGAAGCATCTTGAATCTGCATCATCTTGAGGGACATCTCGAGTGCCCTCTAGGGTTGGTGGCTTGGTAGGCAGCAGGGTCCTTACCTTTTGAACAAGCTCAGGGGCTTTTTATCCCTGGTGGTAGACAGTTGGCAGGTCGTCACTCAGAATGACAAGGTCAGGTTTGTGAGCACCAGCCAGGCTCCGCAGTGTATGCGGGGAGGGAGCGTGGTTGCCCTCACTGAAAAGCGACTAGAGAGGCAAATGAGGCTGGGGGAGCTGAGGATTGATTCGTGGGGCAGGATTGCCATTTCAGCTGGGTAGAGGTCAGACCAACTGGCGTGGCTGCTCCGCTTCTCTGGCCTTCGGCTTACAGCTTGAACCCAAGGATCTGTCTCTTCTATTGTTAGCGCTACGCTCCCAAACAAAGCCCTCTTCAGGTCACACTCCCAGCACAGCGCTCCAGGGTATGTTGCTGGAAGTCCAGCCTGTTCTCTGCTTGGCAGGTGTACCATCCAGAGTCAGCAACTTTCACCTGGGGCAGCTCCAGGCCCAGGGTTCTGGAGCCCACGGGGCTGGACTATGAGAGGACTCGGTGCTCCAGGCCCCAGCTCAGCGTGGCGGGGGTGCTGGCTGTCGGCAGCACAGAGGAGGCGCAGAGACTGGCCTCGCTGGACTTCCAGATGTGAGGTGGTCCCATGCGGTTCTAAAGTCAA